TCTCTAACCTAAGAGGAAGATATTTGCCAGAGATGGTGGGAATCCTTTAAGAATTTCCTCAATACAATTTCTGCAAAACCTTGGCGATTGTTCCAAACTGCATGTTTGGATGGAAAGCAGTTTAAAAGCAGCTGAAATAGCAACTTCCTTTAAATCGTTGAAAAGTGGCACAGCAAAGACATACGAAATCCAGTCTCTGAGGTCAACGACCTTGAATCGCGATGGTACTTTCTGGCTGACAAACTTGTACAAAAACTTGGAACTTGGAAGAACACTCAAACAATAGCTGTACGGAGCGAATGTCACAGCGTAAAACAGGATTCAGAGGTACTGCAACAACTGAAGCATCTATTTGCTCAGTCTGTTAGTAAAGACTAAGCAATCTGCTTAGAAACAAGGCGCGGAGAAATAGCAAAGATAAACAAAGTAGCTCTAGTCAATATCTTAGTGGATCAGATCTTTACTCGACCCCCTTGTTTGTCAAAATGCTGGAAATATATCAAGAAGTTAATGCTTAGTCTATAGATTAGGAAAAGGCTAGGAGAAAAGTGATCTGAGCGAAGCTGTCGAGTGCATCACTGAAATATAGAGTGAATGGTTAGCAAATGCAGATAATGAAATCTTTACACGACTACTGATAAATCTGCGTCCGAATTAACGGCAAGAATTCAATACCTTTCAACGTGCATGCTGGTCTCAGCTAAGTGTGCGTTGTCTCACGCACTATCCATTGTTTTTAAGGATTTTATCAGGCCACCTTAACTATGGTGGAGAATGTTACAGTTGGGGGTGTTAGACTCAACATCGGCTGTTTGAAGATGATATGACGTTTTAATTTTCTATCATAATTTCTTCCTACTTACACTTGATAGAATGACTGTAGCATGCGAGGGGCCGGAATGAAGATTCGTCTGATCAAAAGTTAGGTTTCTGCACATTCTAAAGACGCAACTGCGTGACATCCCCAAATTAGAAAAATGTAACTGAGACTGGTCGAGAAGTTTAAGTATCTCATGGTAGCATTCCTGATAAATTTCATGCGGAACTTGGAAATAGACAGAAATTCAGGCAAGCGAACGTCGTAAAGGCGGGGACTAAATTTTTTTTGAGGTGGATAAACACAGAGTTAAAAAGTAATAAGAAGCTACCTCTCCTTAAGCCAATATAAATATCTGCACTTAGCTATCACCATCCGTGTTGAACGTACATAAAACGCGTATGATGACACTCATGAACATGGGCATGATCAGCGGCAGAGATGAGGTTCTTTGAAACGACTGTTAGCGTGACAAAGCTCGACGAGCTGCAGGGCTTCAGTGACGATAGCAGACAACAATAAAAAGAACTATTATATTTCTTGAAGGCAGACCAAACAAAATACACAGGCAGCATACTTTTGTAAACGGTATCATGCTCTTCTGCATCAATATAAGATACCTTCTCTCAGGTTGCAATCAATCTTTCCCACTTATTTGCAGGAATCAAGTCACTGGGATCACTTGAACCGGTCTGTAATCGGCGTCAAATCGCATCGGAAGCAATACGTATGCCACTCTTCGCTGTTTCGAGCCTTCCCCCTCCAAGCGCGGCTACTGATATAATCTTCCCAGCGTCGTAGTGGGCTAAAAAGCAGCCTGGTCCCCACCAGGATACCATTCGACGATATTCGCTAATCATTTCTCGTCGGTGAGTCGAACTACTTGCCTGACCAACCATAGATTCTTCCTTTAGCTGCCGACGAAGTCCTTCAGTCCTGTCCGTTGTCTGACTACCAAGTTCGGGATATGGTCCTGACTTGAAATTCTCAGCATTCTTCTCTATATGACTCTCTCGGCGGCAGAGAGTCAGAACTCTTCAACTTTCGCGAGTGATCGCGTGTCAGAGCTATACAGCATTGCCGACAGTAGAATTGAAAAAGTGGGCGAGGGTTTCTTTTCTGTTGCTACCTAGGAGGAAGGCATTTACGGAAAGATACACACGTCAACCGATCCTCTTTCTCCGTTGAATCTCTCCAACCTGATCATGCCGCATGTAGATCACATGGCCCAGGTAAATGCAATTATCTACTTTTAGCCGCTTAATATTACCTAGAACTGGCAAGACATCTAATCGCAGTATATTCGTCTTTGGACAAAATGGTACATTCCTCTTTATTCGACTGATTCGCAGTCCGACTTTTGCACTTTTCTCTCGAGCTCTAGCAGTATGTCTTGTAGATGACTGACATTTTCCGCAAACAACACGTTCTTAGGTGGTTGAGTTGCTCACCACTGGTTTCAATCCCATCCTCTCAGTTCATCCTCTGAAACACCACTTCCAAACAGGCAGCGAAGTGTTTCGGGGAGATGGTATCCCATATTTCATGGCCTTCTCTACGGGAAACCTGAGGGGGTGTCGAACGGCGTGATGTTTGTCAATCAGCCAGAGTAGGCCTCCTTTAGCAAGTTGTTTTACAGGAGTCAAATCTCTGATGTGCCAGTGTAGTCCACACTGCATCGTACACGACAGAGTCGAACGCCTTCTTGTAGTCGACCAATGCTATGCACAGTGGGAGCTGCAATTCCCTCGCGAGCTCAAGTAGTTGACTTAAAGTAAAGAGGTTATGCACTGTCCATTAACTCATTCCCAATCCGGCCTGTTTCACTGACTATCGTTCGCCCAGATTTGTTGACAGTCTGTTGGTGATGATCTTCTGAACACCGTCTAGACTTGTGAGAGCAGGTAAATTGGGCAATAGCGCTTCAGAGCTTTCTTCTCGGCCTTCTAGAACGGAACTATTGTTGTTGACTCATCCACGCTTGATGGTATCCTACCGCTTTCCAGGTACTAAGTGAACCTCTGTACTAGAGCCCTCCACATTGTCTAATCATCTGCTCTGCAGTTGTCAGACTTTTTCTCCATGGTGCACTTCTTTCTTTCATTTGCGGCGCGGCATGCCAACTTTGCTTATGAGGATCAAGGGTGCACTTACTTCTGATGTAGTGGAAGATGGAGCGATGATGAGAAGATGCGTCATTTGACACAAAGAGCCGGGTGTAAGTTTTCTTACAGATAGACTGCATCTCAGCTCTGTAAGACGTTAATGCGCAATCCCCGTTCTTCAAAGTCTTGATGAGCGACTGATAAATCGCTAACCCCATTCTGCAGTTTCTGAAGTTTATTCTGATTTTCCCGATCGGAAGGTCTCGAAGTCCTCTTTCAGCTTCTGCCTAATGAGCCTGCAGAGAAGAAAGTACTCCACTGTATCGGTCACATTTTTCTTAATCCTCTTCCGCTTCTCATGAATGACTTTAAGTAATGCTTCAGTGTTTCGGCGAACTTCTCGTGGTGGTCGTCGTATCTGCCTTTAAGGCTCCAGCCTTCGTTGAATATGCGCGCTTGGAGCTCTGTCTAGTCGAATACCCTCGATTATTGTCTGCGATTTACCGTCTGCGGTGGCTTCCTCTAGATCTTCTCCCTGACGGTTACCCTGGCCCGCACCAATCTATGATCTCTGTCGGTGTTAAGTTATGGAACTACTACAATTTGTCCGATAATGCGGCGTTTATCGAACAGAACGAAGTCAATCTTGTTCTTCCTCGCCATGTTTGGGGCAGTCATGTTTACCTCCAGTTGGTCTTATTCTTAAACCAGGTGCTTTGTTTTTGCTATGGTCACCAGTTAATAGATCTCCTTGCTCATTTCGCTCTCTCGTGCCATGCCTACCGAAAATTTTTTACCAGCCCTTCCTCCCGACTTTGGCGCTGAAATCTTCAATCACGAGGGTACACCTTACTTTGGGACCAATGTCTGTTCTAGTTACTGATAGAATTCTTCCACTTCGTACTCGGC